ATAGACAATTATTTTAATAAAAACTTATAACTTATTTATTATCACTCCTTATCATACCCAATATTAACTAAAATATACATAAAAGACAACAATTTTGTTGACTAAAATGTGAAATTACACAATCAAAATTATGTTCACAATGTAAACAAAACCACATTTGATGTGAAAGTGATTATACGCAAGTGTGAAATAAGGCCCATGTTAAAACATATACCCCAAGATGGGGTTAGTAGTATTGTGTGAATTTAAACAGGTTGTGAAATTGTACAGTGTGACTTTACACAGGTCCGAGTGTATATTTTAAATAATTCTTAAACAATTTACAAATGAACATAATATTAAACACGTAATTATTAAATATTACAATTTGCTCAATTCAATAAACATCAACTATAAAAAAATATATCAATTTATAAAATTATTATTTTTAATTCTTATCATGTTAGACTATATTTTATCAATAAGGATCAATTAATTTTCAAATACACATGATCTCTTATTTGAGTTCCGGATATTCGTCAAATATACGATCCTTTAGTGTTGTATAAACTTTATATCTTTGCTCTCCTTTAGGCTAAGAAATATAAGATTTATTAGATTACAAATACTGTATAAACTTATTAATATATAATTATATTTACCATCATTTCTAACCTTCCATGTCTATCGTACTCTTGAACACAATAACAAACTTCCTTTATATAACCCAACAAAGCAAACACTTTCGCCTCTTTTATAAGCCTATGGCGTGAATTGATCTCCAATTGTGTATAAGAGTTGCCATTAATTGCTGTCATTTCCCGGATATAAGCGTTGATGAAGACCAGCATCTGGTCATCGGTAGGAAAGGGTTCGCCACCAAAGTCTAGCTCTGTTTGACACCAATTCATAAAATAATCGCCAAAGTCTGCGCCCCTATAGGTATAGCAACAGTAATCCCAGTCAATGATGTAAACGTCCAAACCCTGGCCAACCCCCGCCTCCCGGACCAAAGTATTGCGTCGATTGAGGTCACAGTGAGAGAAGACTACGGGACTGTCAATGCGTTCGCACATACGTCTAAGCCAATCCATCTCATCCAATAGATCCACTGATATCAGTGTCTTGTAGTCATTCTTATTCTTCTGGATCTCCTGACGAACCGACCCGTTTCTATATGACTCGCGATCGCATTCTGGGAACCAGTCGTCCATAATTATTCTCATATACCAATCGGCGCTGTCTTTAGGTATCGGCATATCTAGTGAATGCAATTTTGCCACTTTTTGTGCCAACACTGACACTGTCTTAGGGTTGAGATCATCGCCTGCGTTGAAATAGTGAGACTATTTATATAAGAATGCAATTTAATAATTAAACATAAGTAAGCATTTTATGATAATTTATTATTTCATACATCAATATATTCGCAAATATTTCCCTTTTCAAAGACGGCCAACATTTTGGGCGCTATATTATTCTCGGATAAAATTACATTAACTGCTAATAAATGGGTTAGATTTACGCCACATCTCTCGAGAGAATCATTGAGGTATTTAATCACTACTTTTGGGTATTTTACTTGTTCATGGTCAATCGAGTCGGGGAGAAAACAAAATAATATTTTGTTCACAAATCCGTCCCTAATCAAATAAAACATTATTATAAATATTATTAACTTCTGTTGTCAAACAATTTTTACGTCACTTACGTCGCGGGTTTGATAACCAGATCGTCGGCGCAAACATCACTCCATTCGCCGCCTAAATATGTTTTGCATAATTGCCACACATTTAGCCGATCCTCAGCTGAAACACTGCTTTCCATTAAAAATAGTAATTAATAAAATTAATTATTTTTCAAATTTAATTAGCACTCAATATTTAGTTATTTTTATATATTGAATTTTTATTTGTATGACAATTGATTAATGTGAATATTATCAGCATTTTATATAAATTAATTTTAGATATGTGGTATTTTTTTTGCTATAACAGCTGTAATTTTACTATGATGACGAGTAATATAAATTGACTAGTGTAATAACTAATGTTGGTTGCACCTGAATCACAGAATACCTATGCTTTAAATACAATGTTGCTTATAAATACCTTCAGCGACTCCTCTAGCCTGAAATTCCTGTGATTGTCACATATCGTATTTGTAATACCAATTCCTGCAATTGTTGAATAACATTTCTAATGAAATTGACGTGTATAATACCAGCTATTTATCAAAATATATATTATCAGTGTGGTTAAATTTAGGTGGTTATTGTGTAATGGGTTTATATGTAGTAACACTCATTAATGTAGAAATAATAGCGTTAATTATTGGTGGATATTTGCAAATAATCTTATTATGCATATTTTTCACGGTTATTTTTACTGCATCATTCGTTAATAATACGGCTAATAAATCATATAAAATATTTAACACGTTTATAATTAAACATCACATCTAATATGCTTAAAGGTAAAAATATTATAAATTTACTTTTATAAATGTACAATTATTAATTATCTTTATTAAACAAAATATAAGTTGACAATCAGATAATAATTTATCAAAAATATAAGATCTGTAATTAATTATAAACAATTTTTTAAATCAAATTTATTTATTCTTATGAATACTTATACATTATTTAAGAATTCTTGGATTTAATAAATTATTATTATTATAAAATAACATTATGATAAGAATAATTAAAATTAAATATTTATTTTAAATAATTATGCAATAATTTAATGTAGATAAAGAAATTATTTATAAATACTTATTTAAATAAAATTATTTTTAAAAATGGATACTAATGTGTCGGTCGAGACAAGGCATGAATTTTATGAATTATGTAAAACTTATTTAAACGGCAAATGGTCTGAAGTGACCGCAAATGACATCACCATTAGTTCCCTTTTGTATGTATATTACAATCAAAAATATTAATTATGATTACAATAAATCCAATTATTTATTATATTTTATAACTAAATAAAGAAGTGGTTTTCTAAACGAGTTATACGTTTGTTGTTTACCGGATGCTAATGGCGCTGAATATGCAAAAGTAGTCGTAAGGCTCACAGATTACGAGAGATTTAAGCCGTATTGCACTAAAAGCCAGATCATAACAAATAATATTGTTATATCTGACCACAATCTATGTCCAAAACTATTGGCTGTAATGACCGATGGATTCATCAGTCAATATATTGATGTAAAAAAATTAATTTGAATGTTAATCAATCATGATTATTTAGAAAACTATTTTAAATCCATAATTTAGTGCCGATATTTCGACCGAAACGATGACCACAACGACCGGGCCGTTAGCCTATTGGCAGGAAAACTGGCAAAACTACACTCTCTATCCGTACCCATAGCCAGACGTTGCGACGCCGGCACTGACTTATTGTCTAAAATCAATCTCTGTTTAACACCTGAAGTGAGAGAGTCGTATAGCCGGGGCTTTCTTCGCCAACAAATCCAGGCCATGGATTCACCCCTAATGTCGGCCTGGGATGTGCCCGAAGAGCTCCTATGGCTATCGACTACTGCAAGAGAAATGCGGTCACCGATTGTCTTCTCTCACAACGACTTTAATCGCAGGAATATTTTGGTCACTAATTCCGGGGGAGATTCTGGTAATGATGGCCACGATATGGATGTATTGCTTATTGACTTTGATCTAAGCGGTTATGACTACCGGGGCGTAGATTTTGGCCGTTATTTCAGTTCCTGGTCTCACCGGGAGCTCGACTTTGGCTCCGGAGAGTTCCCGACCGATGACCAGATGCTGGTCTTCATCGACGCCTATATCCGGGAAATGACAGCAATTAATGGCAACTCTTATACAGAATTGCAGATCAATTCACACCAAAGGCTTATAAAGGAGTCCAAAATGTTTGCTTTAATGGCTTATCTAAAGGGTATTATCTATTGTTTGTTTGTATTCAATACATATAATGAAAGGACAAACCAATTGGTATAAAATATTAATGCTTTTTATTAATTATTTTTATTAAATTATTATTTTATTTTATTAGTTGAATGCAGAGAAAAGACTTGAATGTTATGTGTCTTTGAAATCCACAATTATGAAAGAAGGACCAAATATTTGATGATTTTCAATTACTGATTAGATAACTGAACTTGTTCATTTGTATATATTGATAACAATAGATAACAAATGAACTTCATACATGATTTTATGTTTATATTTGCTTCTATCGTAGTGATAAAGTATACAATATTACATTAAAATTAATGATGATAAGTATATTTTGATTAATTATACTTAATCATGCTAGGATAATTGTTCAGTTTTAATAATTAGTTTTATTATATAAATAAAATTCACGAATTATTTATAAAATAAAATTGTGTAATAAAACTACTTGTACAATTTATTGAATTAAATAAACAACTTATTAAACTAAACTTTATTTATTAGCTGTATTGAAATATTGTATTCATAGTAACAGTACTACAGAATTATAATTAAAATGAGTACTAATATAACTAATGAGACCCGAAAAGAGTTGTATGAATTATGCAAAACTTATTTACCACACAATTGGGCTCTAATATCATCAAATCAATTGGATATACAAACTATTGCGTAAGTTTACAAAACAAAATCATATTTATATATATTTTTTATTTACATTAGAAAAACATATTTACATTTTAATAAATTATTTATTTGTTATAAATAGCGATGGACATATAAATCAATCATACCTGTGTAGTTTACCTTCAAACATTAAGGCTGACTATAATAGGGTTGTAATTCGTATTGTAGATTATGAGAGATTTAAAGAGTACTTCACGCAAACACACGTGATAACAATTGCGGTAATTTTATCGCATCTAGGTCTATCACCAAAACTGATGGCTGTGTTTCCCAACGGAACTATCAGTCAATACATAGACGTAAGGCTAACTAACAATTTTATCACCATGATTGTTTTGTAATAATCACTACATGTGAACATGTGATTCAGTGCCGTTATTTTGACGGTCGGGATGACCTGAACCCAACACTAGTGCGCCTATTGGCTGGAAAATTGGCCAAATTTCACTCAACCCAGATGCCGGTGCGGAGAGAGCCCACAAACATATATCACTTATACAAAGCGGTATTTAATATGGAGACCAGTGATAAAGTACGAGAGTCGATGGACCACCCGGTGATCATAGAGCAGATACAACGACACAAATTACAGGCATTCGTGGACACGGATCTGATCCGCGAGAATGAATGGCTTCAAGCGGCGGTCGACGCCCTCCAGAGTCCCGTAGTTTTCTCGCACAACGACTTTAATCGCCGCAATATTCTGGTCTATCGGCCACACAATAGTACCCAAACTAATAATGAGTTTGATATTACCCTAATTGATTTTGATTGGACCAAGTACACTTATAGGGGTGTGGACTTTGGGCAATATTTTTGCAGTTGGTCGCACCGGGAAGTGGACTTTGGGGCCGGAGAGTTCCCAACTGATGAACAGATGTGGCCATTCATTGACGCTTATATCGACGAAATGTGTAAAATTACTAACAATTCTTATAGGGATTTAGCCGTTAATTCCCGCCATAGGATTATTATGGAGACCAAAGTGTTTGCGTTAATTGCATTCATGAAGGATATATTGTTTGCCATTTGGGTTGCTATTACTGATAATAAGACAGATTTAATGGTGAGTTATATTATATTATTATTTGAACATGTTTCTTTAATTAATAAAGCTTTACATTTTGCAGCCAAAGGCAGAGATACGGCTTAAGTGTTATAAAGTCCTTAAAGATCGCGTACAACGAGAATATTCTTCGCTTAGATTTTAATGTTTTTTAGTTTTAATTATTTTTAAAATAATTAAAGAATTTGATTTCATGAATGTAAAGTTTTTACTTTTATAATTTGTATACTGTACTATAGCCTAACGTACTTTTAATGTACTACAAATAATGAAACTTTTTTTGTAATGAGTAGCTTTATAAATTATAATTTATAAAAAAAATAAAAAATAATTATAAAAATACAAAGTAATTATATAATCATAAATTTCAGCAAATCAAATGTAGTTTTATTATGTAATTCATATTATAAAAATTATTTTAAATATAATATCTTCATTTCTAATTAAAACTAATGATATTAAATTATTTTAACAATAATGAAAAAACATAAAATATTCAACGGAATAGTAACTTTTACAATACAAGTTTAATAAATAAATATTGTTCTAGAAATAAATAATCTAATAAAAGCGTCATATAATGCAGTGTAATCAGAGGTAGTTAATAACAATATGAGGTAAAAATGTTATTAAATTGAGTAAATCCCCATAATAGTTACTAGTACAATTAGTGCAGTAAAAACATTAAGTTAGATTTGTTGTTTTGTATGATATTACTTTAAATCATCCAATACGTCATGATAAAATAAATTATGATCAAACTTGATATATCATTTAACTATTAAGTATTAATTAGGGGCTTGCTTTTTGAAAACATATTTATGGATGATATAAAATAATTGAGCTATTAAAGTAGATTTTAATCGAGATTATTTTTGAAAACATTGTGACGTCAATTTTGCATTAAATCTGTTTACTTTCATAACACTATAAATAAGCATAATGTTTTAATATTTACAAAAAACTTTGTGTTTAAATATTATATCAAACGTTATATTTATTTATAAAATAATTAATAAAAAAATGGAAAATAAAGAAAATAATATTCCGGTAGAAGAGAGGGAGAAATTGTATGAATTATGTAAATCATATTTAGGCGCCCAATGGTCTGAAATTAGTGCCACTGATCTAATTATAAAGCCCGTAACGTGAGTAAAAGTTGCTATATCTTATATAATGATTGTACTTTTATTTTCTATTAAAATTTCTAAAATATAATTATTATTTTTACATAAACACATTCAGTGGTGGTTTTGTAAATAAACTACATTTATGCTGTTTGCCTGATGGTAAACAAACTGCTCAATATAATAAAGTGGTGGTCCGTTTTGTTGATTATGAACAGTTTAAGCAAATTTATAATCAGACACATGTGATTACAATGAGTGTCCAGTTGTCGCAATGCAATATCAGTCCCAAACTGTTGGGTGTTTTCCCGAACGGAACCATCAATGAGTACATCGATGTATGACATTATTCACTAAGTTTTGAATTGTACCAATAAATCATTATTAATGTAATTATTATTACAGTCTAGATATTTCAACGCCACGGATGACCTGAACCCGAAGGCAGTGGCCGTATTGGCCCAAAAGTTGGCCACATTTCACTCACAACGGATACCAATACCTAATTCTCCTAAATTACTGTTTGAAAAGATGGCCGACTTTGTGACCGACAAAGTAATTGAATCGTTCGTTAGCGGGACTGTTGGTCAACAGATACGGGACAACAACTTCCGGGTCCAAGAGTTGGATCCGCGGGCGGAGATGTCTTGGCTCCTAAAGACAGCCAAACAACTGAATAGCCCCAAAGTCTTCTCCCATAATGACATCAATCGGCGCAATATTTTGGTCAGAAAGTCGACTGTGAATAATAACCAGGAGCTGGACATCTATCTCATAGACTTTGATTGGTCTAACTATGCCTTCCGGGGCGTAGATATTGGGCAATACTTTAGCAGTTGGTGTCATAAGGAGATTGACTTTGGCGGCGGTCAGTTCCCGGCCGATCACCAGATGTTGCCCTTCATTGACGCCTATATCGCCGAGATGTGCAAAATTCATGGTAACTCTTATCGGGAATTACCAATCAATTCCCGGAAGTCAATGACCAAAGAGGCAAAAGTGTATACTTTAATGGCATATATGAAAGATATTATGTATTGTATTGGTATGACAACTAATACCAACCAAACAGATCTTATGGTGTGTTTTATAAACTAACTTTTTTCATTACCTAGTATTTTATAAATATAATTATTTTGTAAAATATTTATTATAATTATTTTTGTGTCTTTACAGCCAAAGGCGGAGATCAGGTATAACTGCTATCGAGTGCTGAAGAGTCGTATTCTTGAGGAATATTCAGACATTCATTAATTTTGTTATTATATTTAATAGTCTATTAATAATAGACAAAATATAAACTTACTTATTTTAAGATAATTATATTTATAACTAAAGTATTTTTATTTTATAATTTTGTAAAAACTGTTTTAGCTATAATATTTTCAATTTATACTATAATATAAAAATTTTATTAATTTAATATAAAAATTACAATAAAATCTTATCTAGTTAATACATTAGCATTATTAGGTAAAAATGCATTTAATGCAATTAAATTGATTAAAACACTTTAATGGTCGATTGTAAAGTGCATATTTTACAACTAAAATATTCATTTAAAAAGAGCATTTAGTTGAATATGTTATTTTTAGTGCATTTAAGACATCACGATAAAAGAAATCATAATCACTTGTTATATTCTTTAGCTATAAAGCATAATTGTATTTTCATGGTCAAATCAATTATACAATGCATGTTCCATAGTAAGTGCACATTTGTATCAATACTGTTTTTTCAAACTTTCGTGGTGAAATGGCTTGACATATTTACTGATGTACACTGTAATAATTTTATATCAAACTGGACTTCAAAATATTGTCAAAATACTTATAAAATGAATATGGTATATGTTAAAAATTATAACTTATAATTAATAGTGTAAAATACCCGACAAATACTGTATATACGTTATCTTATCAATAATAAGTTATCAATTTTTAAGTGTTAATCACATGTTTAACAAATAAAACTCGTATTTATAAAATCACCACTGAAGACAAGTCAATATTAGTGAATACTATATCGTTGTTTAATTTTCGCAATACTATAACTAAGCTAAATTGTTTAATATTTATAATTAAATCTGTGTTTAAGTAAAATAGTAATTAATTAATTTTGTTTTAATTTTATATTTATTTTTGTGTTAATTAACAATTAATAAAGAGATGGAAAATAAAGTAAATGACATTCCGGTGGAAGAGAGGGAGAAATTGTATGAATTGTGTAAATCATATTTAGGCGACAAATGGTCTGACATTAGTGCCACTGATTTGATTGTTAAGCCCATAACGTGAGTAAAATTTACTATCATACAAAATAAATTATAATTATATTTTTAAATTAAAATACTATAATGCTATCATTATTTTTTATCACAAACACGTTTAGCGAGGGCTTTGTAAACAAACTATATCTTTGCAGTTTACCTGACGGTATAGAAACTGCTCGATATAATAAAGTGGTGGTCCGTTATGTGGATTTTGAACAGTTTAAGGATATGTTTAGTCAAACACAAGTCACTACTATAAGTGTTTTATTGTCGCAAATCAATATCAGTCCCAAACTGTTGGGTGTTTTTCCCAACGGAACCATCAATGAGTACATCGATGTATGCTATTATTTAATAGGTTTTTAATTATATCAATAAATAATTAATCAGATTATTATCTCAGTCCAGATATTTCAACGCCACGGATGACCTGAACCCGAAAACAGTGGCCCTATTGGCCCAAAAAGTGGCCACATTTCACTCCCAACGGATACCAATACCTAAAAACCCAAAACCAATGATTGATATGTTCTCAGACTTTCTGAGCGACGAAATAAAGCAATCCTTCGACACCGGGATTGTTGGCCAACAGATACGGGACAACAATTTGCGGATCAAAGAGTTGGATCCGGTGGTCGAGTTGTCTTGGCTCACAACCACAATCAAACAGCTGAATAGTCCCACTGTCTTCTCCCATAACGACTGCAATCGGCGCAACACTTTGGTCAGGGAGTCTACAGTGAATAACAACCAGGAGCTGGACATCTATCTCATAGACTTTGATTGGTGTAATTATGGCTACCGAGGCATTGACCTTGGTCAATACTTTTGCAGTTGGGGCCAAAAGGAGACCGACTTCGGCGAAGGTCAGTTTCCGGCCGACCACCAGATGTTGCCTTTCATTGACGGCTATATCGACGAGATGTGCAAAATTCACGGCAACTCTTACCGGGAATTACCGATCAATTCCCGGCAGACACTAACCAAAGAAGCAAAAGTGTTTACTCTAATGGCGTATATGAAGGATATTCTGTATATTTTTTGGGAAACAACTAATACTAAACGCACAGATCTTATGGTATGTTTTGTGAATTAGATTATAAATTAATTTGAAAATATTATAAAAATAATTAATTTTGTGTCTTTACAGCCAAAGGCGGAGATCAGATATAACTGCTATCGAGTGCTGAAGAATCGTATTCTAGAAGAATATTTAGACATCAATTAAATTTATAAATAATTTAATATTTTTAAACTAAATTATGTTTGCAATTGTTTGTATGTAAACTTGAATAAATTCATATTTTGAAAGTACTGAATAAATAAAGAAATTTACATAATTTACATACCTATAAAAGCGTTTGTTTTTACATAAATTTAAAATATCAATTAAAACAATGCAATAATATTCCGGTAATAATATTGTTTTATCTAAATGTTATTAAATTAATTAAAACTCCCATTGTGATTAATAAATAATCATTATGCACTAAAAAGTTTTGTGCACTTGTTAAGGTCAATATGTCACTTTTGTACTGATTTGAATATATAAAGTAGAAGTTAAAATTTTCATGGTCATGTGAATAAACAATACAAATTACTAATTAGATTTAAAAAATTGTTAGGTGCAAACACTCATCTGTTTGCATAGAATTCAATCAAGGTTATTTTAAAAAGTTATGAACTAGTTTTGCACTCTATGTTATAAACTTTATATGTAATCAATTTTAAAGAAATACTGCTATCATGTTAATTATGATAATTATTAATCACATGATTTACAAACAAAACTGGTACTGTATTAATAAGCACAGAACTAAATCTGTATTTTTGAATGAAGATGATTTTACATTTGATTTTAATAAATGAAATTTTTTATTTATTTTTTCGTTAAATAACTTATAGAAAATATTTTTAGTTTTGTGTCTATTTTTGTAATAATTAATAAAGAAATGGAAAATAAAGAAAACGATATTCCGGTGGAAGAGAGGGAGAAATTGCATAAATTATGTAAATCATATTTAGGCGCCCAATGGTCTGAGATTAATACTACTGATCTGATTATAAAACCCATAACGTATGTATAAAATAACTATATTGAATAAAATATATGATCACTGAATTAATTTTATTAACAGTAAATTAATTGTATTTATTACCTTAATTAATTAGTGAAGGATTTGTAAATAAGTTATATTTATGCTGTTTGCCGGATGATTACAAACAAACCGCACGTTATAATAAAGTGGTGGTCCGTTATGTAGATTATGAACAGTTTAAGGACTTTATGGATGAGACACAAGTGTTGACAATTAATCTCCTGTTGTCGTCAATCAATATCAGTCCCAAACTGTTGGGCGTTTTTCCCAACGGAACCATCAATGAGTACATCGATGTATGACATTTTTTAATAGCGTTTAATATAATTAATGTAATTATTGTTTTTATAATGTAGTCAAGATATTTCAACGCCACGGATGACTTGAACCCGAAGACAGTAACCCTATTGGCTCAAAAGGTCGCCACAATTCACTCACAACGGATGCCAATCCCTAAACACACTAAACCTATGATTGATGTATTTGATGAATGGCTGACAGACGAGTTGAGACAATCGCTGGCCAACGGTATAGTACGGCAACAAATGCTCAACAGGTATGAGATTAAAGACATGGATTTGATGGCAGAGATGTCGTGGCTCTCGGCGGCCATCAAACAGCTTCGGTCGCCGATTGTCTTCTCTCACAATGACTTTAATCGACGCAACACTTTGGTCAGGGAGTCCACAATGAATAACAACCAGGAGCTGGACATCTATCTCATAGACTTTGATTTTTCTAACTATGACAATCGGGGCGTCGACTTTGGCCAATATTTTGCCGGTTGGGGTCAAAAGGTGACCGACTTTGGCGACGGCCAGTTCCCGGCCGATCACCAGATGTTGCCTTTTATTGACGCCTATATCGACGAGATGTGCAAAATTCATGGCAACTCTTTTCGGGAATTACCGATCAATTCCCGGCAGTCAATGACTAAAGAGGCAAAAGTGTATACTTTAATGGCATATATTAAAGATATACTATATATCATTTGGGAGACAACTAATAGCAAGCGCACAGATCTTGTGGTATGTTATAACTTATAATTGTTAATAAGAAATTATTGTTTAGCAATTAATTTATAAATTATAATTAAATCAAGAGTTTTAAATGAGTAATGAGTTAACTATATTTGATATGTTTTACAGCCAAAGGCGGAGATCAGGTATAACTGCTATCGAGTGCTGAAGAAACGTATTCTTGAAGAATATTCAGACATTAATTAATTTATGATAAAAATTTTCTTATTTGAATAAAAATGTATCTTTTACAATTTTTTTTATAAATTTAATTAAATTATATTAAAATTAAATAATAAATTTAAAAATTAATAAAAATTAATTGTCATTTTATTTATTCATATGTGTAATGTAATAAATAAAAAAAAGCTGACATAAAATAAATACTTTATCTAACTTTCAACACATGGTAACTGCTGATAAATAGTATAAGCATTGACAACCTTGGTATAATTACGAAATGTGCAGTATGTTATCATTATTGATTGTCATTTAATTGACATTTATGATTTATTATGACATTATTAATATAGATATTACACAATAGATGTAGTTATTGTGAAGTATTGTATATTTATTTGTTTCATTTACAAACAATTAATATAAATACAGTTAAACTCGTAAACAATGGAGGATTCGGTGTCGGCTGAGGACCGGCACAAAGTGTATGACTTATGCAGAACACAATTAAGCGGCAAATGGACTGAAATTAGTGAAAATGAAGTGATTATAAAACGCGTTAAGTAAATAAATAAATATACTTGTATAATTATTTACAATTAATTAATACAATTATAATTATAGAATGACTAATTAATTTAATATTAATTTAAGGGTTGGTTTTGTAAATAAATTGTTTTACTGTTTTCTGCCCGAAAACGTGGACCAAATATACGGCAAAGTTGTGGTCAGATTTCATAACATGGATATAATAAGTCTTTACGGCTCGGAAACACATGTATTGGTTAAATCTTTGTTAGTATCGCAACAAAATATATCGCCTAAACTATTGTCAATATTTAACGAGGGCTTTATCAGTGAATATATTGAGGTAAAACATATTTGTTTTGCACAATAATTATGAATAAATAATAATTTAATATATAATTATAAACACAAATAAATTGTGATATTTATGTTAACACATAAAGTCCAGGTATTTAACAGCTAGTGATGATCACAACCCGCGGACGGCCGGACTTTTGGGCCAAAAATTGGCAAAATTTCATTCATTACAACCGCCGATACCGAAGGACAGCACCGAAGGGACCGTCAATTTTGACCAATGGTTTGATGAAAAACAGAGACAATCATTACGTGAGGGACGGGTGAGGGAAGAGATTGTGACCAATCAGTTGAACACATTCCTGACTCGGGATCTGTTGGCGGAGATGTCTTGGCTCAGGCATCAGGTGCTGGCCATCAAGAGTCCGGTGCTCTTCTCGCACAATGACTTTAATCGGACCAATATTTTGATCCGTGATTTAAATCCGGATAACAATGAGTTGGATATCTATTTTGTTGATTTTGATTTCAGTAGTTATAACTACAGGGGCTGTGATTTTGGCAATTATTTTAGCACTTGGGCTTCAGATAGTGCCGAGTTTGGGGTCGACTCCCGGTTCCCTACGAATTGCCAGATGTGTCCCTTTATTGATGGCTATATACGGGAAATGACAGCAATTAATGGCAACTCTTTTACACAATTGGAGATCAATTCACGCCAAAGGCTTATAAAGGAGGCGAAAGTGTTTGCATTATTGAAATTTATTAACGATATTATGTCTTGTATAGAGAGAACAGTTAACGGTTCCGATGACAGCACTGAACTAATGGTAATTATATAAATACTTTTAAATTATTATTAAATAAAAGTGTAAATATTTTAATTTAATTGTATTAATCAATTGGTTTATACAGAAAAAGGCTGAAATACGGTTCAAATGCTACAGTCATCTTAAAGATCGCATAATTCAAGAATATTCTGATATTACATTGAAAATATAAAAATCCATTTGCATATACAGTATATGAACCAATTATTAATTGGCAATTAATGATGCAATATTATGTGTAAATAACTTACTACTTCTACTAAAAAACAAATAATAAAAATTTTAAGCAAATAATAAATACCCAACCATGTGACATAAACTCATGTAGTACTGTGGCTCATAGATAATGTGATTAGATTAAACTAAATTTATGGCATGTACAAATAAAGCCATTATGCGTTTTCGCATTTAATGTTAGTTCAAATAGTTTTAAATTAAAAATGAATGAAAGCGTTTCAGCGGAAGACCGGCTCAATGTCTACGAGTTGTGCAAAACATATTTAGGCGGCGAATGGGCCGACGTTTGCGCCGACGATCTGGCCATCAAACCCGCGACGTTAGTGTGTTTTTGCAAAACTTTTAAATTTAGATTAATTTTTTTTAATTATAATTGTAAATAGGGGTGGAGTTGTTAGCAAGTTACTTTACTGTTTTCTACCGGACACGATGTCAGCAAAATATTCAAAAGTTGTGGTCAAATACCATGATGATCTACTGGCTGATGCCGGTGTAAACACTACACATTTGTTAACAGTAAACGTAATTTTATCGGCCAGTAATATATCGCCTAAAATACTCGCTGTTTTTGGTGCCGGAAATATTGCGCAATTTATTGATGTTGGTATAAATTATTTAATTGGTTTAATACTAAAATTAAAATAATTATTAATTAAATAATAGTCTCACTATTTCAACGCCAGCGATGATCTGAACCCCAAAACTGTCGCACTATTGGCACAAAAGTTGGCAAAAATGCATTCACAAGATATGCCGATACCTAAAGACAGGACTGAAGTCTATATGCGAATGATATTTGAAGAGTGGCTCAAAGAACCAGATATTGAATCCCTGAGACACGGGTTGGTTCGGCGGGAGATCCAGAAGAATAATCTCAAGACATTGATGTCTACGGATTTGGTGGCAGAGATGGCTTGGGTTAGGGAAGTGATGGTCAGTCTCAACAGTCCAGTAGTTTTCTCCCATAACGATCTCAATCGCCGTAATATTCTGGTCACTAATAATAACAGTGATGTCGACGTTTACATAATTGATTTTGATTGGAGCTGCTATATGTATAGGGGCGCTGACCTGGGTGATTATTTTGTTAATTGGTGTCAACAAGACTATGGCCCTGAAGTTTTCCCGACTGATGACCAGATGTTGGTCTTTATTGACGCCTATATCCGAGAATTGACAGCAATTAATGGCAACTCTTTTGCACAATTGGAGATCAATTCACGTCAAAGGCTTATAAAGGAGGCGAAAGTGTTTGCTTTGATGTCTTATGTAAAGGAGATTTGTTATTGTGTTTGGGACTCAATTCGGAGCAATAAACTTGAATTACTGGTAATATTTTGTAATTTCCACTTTTATTATAATGTTTTTAATAATAATGTTTTGTTTAATTGCAGCCAAAAGCCGAGAACCGCATTAAAGTCTATAAAGAATTAAAGAATCGTATATTAGATGAATATTCAGATATTAAATCATTTTGATTATAAAACAAAGTGCTATATTTGATTATGTTATAAAGAATGCTAATGTTTAAAATTTGTGATTAATATAATATTATCAATAAGGTTTACTAACTTGTAAGTACACTAAAAAGACTAATAAATAGGTACCTTGATGAAATTTAAATAAGTAATTTAAATAAAGATGAAACATAATAATATCCATAATATATTAATGTATTTTATATTTTAAAAATGAAATTAAACAACCACAAATATAATATTATAAGTTATGATTCATAACTATAAATTATAATATAAATAATTTAATACTACCTTGAATATATAGATAATAATGTTTATAAATTAGAAAGTGATTAGATTTAGCTAAAATTATGGCAAATATAAGCAAAAGTATTGTGCTAATTTTTGCATCTAGTGTTAGTTTAAAATTGCAAAAAAATTATATATAAATAATTTGTTCAATAAATAAATATTTTTATAAATTAATTTTAAATTAAAAATGAATGAAAGCGTTTCAGCGGAAGATCGGCTCAATGTATACGAGTTGTGCAAAACATATTTAGGCGGCGAATGGGCCGACGTTTGCGCCGACGATCTGGTCATCAAACCCGCGACGTTAGTGTGTTTTTGTGAAACCTTTTAATCTAGATTAATCTTATAAATTATAATTGTAAATAGCGGTGGATTTGTTAACAAGTTACTTTACTGTTTTCTACCTGACACTATACCAGCAAAATACCCAAAAGTGGTGGTCAAATACGCGAATGATGACCTGGAAGAGATCGGCGTAAACATTACACATTTGTTAGCAATGAATGTAATTTTATCGGCCACTAATATATCGCCTAAATTACTGGCTGTTTATGGTACTGGAA